TCGATCCATGGGCGGCCAGGCCAGGTCACGAGTCGCATGTCCGCACGCGGGGTAGAGCGCAGGGTCAAGGTGAAACTCCTGCGCGAGAGCCTGTATGCTGCATAGTCATAGTCTCTTGTTCCTGCTTGCGATAACGATCTCATCATCTTGGCTGAGAAATGCTTGCATGCGTCTGGATCTCGCTGTCCTGGCAGGCGATATCATGTGTCCCTTGTCAATGCACTCTGCGTGTGGCGCCCAGATACCTCTGAACCAGCAGCCAAACCGAAGATGACAGGAGGGAATCGGGATGATTGCTCCTTTGATTTCATTCAAATTCAGCCGCTTCTGCTCGAGCCTTCTTGAAGACAGATGTAAGACGAGTGCAGCCATGGCAAGGACGTCAGCATCGCGCAAGATTGGTCGCGTGCTGGCGCTGCTGGCATTGTTTTGGGTTTGTCAGCCAGGGCCTAAGACAGGCGCTGCTCAGCCAGTGTTAGAGTCAGAGAGGGTCTTGAGCAGCTTCAGGCAAACCGTGCAGAAAGTGCGGGCTGCTGTTGGTGTCCGGGCCGTGCCATTTGCAAGGCGGGGTGCGACAGCATGGAGTGGCGAAGAGCATAAAGCCAAGCGAGGCCTCCTGTGGGCGCGTGGGTGCGTAAGCCGCTCATTGCACGCAGAGCGAGCAAGGCTGGGAAAACTGAGAAGAAAGTGTTAAGCTCATTCGGAGAAGCTCAGGCTGAGGGCCAACGTGGTGAAGCAGACGACAAGGAAGATGATGAGGCAGGAATGGTTTGTCGTTTCGGCGTGACACCCCTGCTTTGCTATAAGGTGAGCAAGCTGGCCAAAGAACACGATGTGGTTCAGAACTACGACGAAAATGAGGTGCCTTGCGCCGTTCTTGTGTCGTTTCCTTCGGTCTCTGCCTTGGCTTTCTGAAGCGTCTCTTGTAGGTGATTCAATGGGTCCAAAAATCCGTGGACATCACTAATCCCGAGGTCGGAGATGACGAATGTGGCTGCTTGTCACGTCTCAAGCACCAATGTGCTCCAAGGAAATTGCAAAGCTTGAAGAGCAACAGTATGCTGGGTCATTCCTGCTGGAGAAGTGCGCGGCAGACTTGGAACAAAAGATCAAATTGTCAGACGGGCCAAAAGAGATCTTGATAGAGCGCATCAAGAAGCTGAAAGCGGCCGCCGCCGCTCGACTGCACGCCTTGCCGTTGCTTCCGGGCAGCTGCAGTCTCGGAGCAAGCTGAGGCCATCAGAGATGCCAAGAAGAAGCTTGACAATGCAGGCGCTGAGGATAAGGCCTGGGGGCTTCGGAGTTTAGCCGTCCATGGCACGGGTTGCTCCGGCACAGGATCGGATCACGATGGTCGGCCGCGGCCTCGGAGCTGTGGGGAAGTTAGCCAGATGTGGCGGGGACGGCGCTAGCAGGTGACATGCTGTCGGCGCTGGT